TTACAGTACTTTTGTTTTGCTTTTGGTTGTTTTGTAACCCAGCACTTCATACAAACTAGGCAATCACTTTGACTGTGGGTTATATACACAGTCCTTTTTATTTTTATTTTGAGGTAGTGTCTAAGCTACTCAGCTTAGCCTCAAACCTTTGATTCTCCTGCCCCAGCCTCCAAATAGCTGGGACTACAGGTGCATGCAACTATGCCCAGTCTTCTATAGTGGTTTAGGGGACACTGGCACCATAAATCAAATTGCGTGGCAGAATAGATTAGCAAACCAAGAACAATGTGTGCATAAAATGATTGATTCTGAATTACAAATTATATGCAAGTTTCATTTCTTTTCACAAAAGAGATGTAACAGAAACCTGAGCAAGCTGAATTTTAAGTAAGTTCAGTGAGTGTGAAATATATTTTTAGAAAAATAACTCATTGATGTCTTTTCTTACCCCACCCAATGATGAAAGAGGCTGTGTATGACCGGTCAAGTGTCAAGCCAGAAGGGAATAAAAACAACAGTCTACCAAACCTTAGTATCTACAATATCACAAATCAGTTTCTGGATTAATAATAAGCGCCAGCCTAATAAATGGACTTAAATGGTCCAAACAGGTTCCACATATTCACAATTATCCTACACTCTCGTGATGATCTTTTCCATCATGACTTACATTTTAAGCTTGTTCTCTTAGAGTTTCTGGAATAAGGAACTTTTTAAAATTGATGACAGCAATCAGAAAATCTTTTCCTCTGTTCTAAATCTCACATTAGCCAAATAAGACTGTTTTACACCATTTTTATTTAAAGGGTAGATATTACGATTTAGGTCTAGAACATCGCCCAAAAGGCTCACGTGTCCAAAGGCTGGGTGACACTATTGTTGCCAGTGGACTGATCTACTGATGCATCCACAGCTGAATGTGCAATAAGCCTTCTGCCTTCTCTCTCTTTTTCCCAGCTGCCATGATGCAAGCAGGTTTCCTCCACGCCCTTCCTGCTTTGGAGCCAGCCAACTACAAATGAAATCCTCTATGAGCTGGGAGTCAAAATAAACCTCTCCTCTTTTAACCCCTACGTGCTGGGTATTTCTTCCCCTGCTATGAGCAAGTTACTAAGACAGTACTTATTATTTAAGTACAAAATTGAGTGAGTCTTTTGTAACTTCTAATTAACAATAACTTTGGATTGAACAAAACTGATAAGTATCAATTAGAATAAGGAGCTACCTAGATAAAAAGGATGAATATTTTTTCTATACATAGTTTTTGTTTTTAGGAACTCTTTGTTCTATTAAGAATATTCTTGTTGAAATTAAGAAGTGTGATAGTGGGTGAAAATATTAGAACTAGTAAATAATAAATTCTGCTGGGTTCTCTAAACCAAAACTTACAATGTATAGTGGGAATAAACACAAAACTAGCAGAATCCTACAATATTCTGTGTCCAGGCAGATAGCCATGGAGGTTTAAACGCGTGTTTTTAAAACACGGGTTTCCTCACTGACTACTCAATGTTGTAAGCTACTTAAAGCTAAATTAAGTAAATCACTAATTTTGAAAACTAGCTTTTGCTAGCAATAACTTTAATTGGAATGGTGATCTTAAAATGTTAAAAGAGAAAAAAGGAAAGGGAGGGAAGGAGGGAAGGAGGGAGAGAAAAAGAATAAAGAAAAAATGAAGAACAAAATTGAAATGCAGCTTTGTCCATTTGAAAGGATCTACACAAAGGTCTAATTTAATGCTTGCTTCATGTCTTACGGCTCCTTCTTGTATATTCTAAATTGAATGAAGAACAGTTAACACTATTTAAGGATTTAATAAACTTACTACAATGATATAGTCATCACACGCAATAATCGTTAACTATTCTGTTTACTGAACATCTTTTTTTGCTTAGCTCTACTCAGGTAGCTTTTAAAAATTCTCGTCTTCCAAGTTATATTACACCAAAACAGTGCTTTTACAAACTAACAATAACAGAACTTTATGTAAATGCACTGCTTTATTGTTTACTTAATTGTTTCATATATACAATAGTATACACTGATCCTTTCCAAATAAGGAATAATTTTCCATTCTATTCAATTGTCTACCCCCTGCAAAAGATTTGTATTTTGGATACCTAAGTTCCTTAGCATTCACTGTTCTATCTGCCTCAAATACTTTGCCCAGACCTCTGTGGTTTTTGCTTTATTACTTCTGATCTTTATCTTTTTTTTTTTTTTTTTTTGGTTTTTTTCTCCGGTACCAGGAACCGAACTCACGACCTTGCGCTTGCCAGGCAGGCGCTTTTGCCGCTGAGCTAAATCCCCAGCCCCTACTTCTGATCTTTATGCCAGTGTGACTTCATCAGACCCTCCCAAAACTCACCACCCAACCTGTCCTGCTTTTCTCCTTCATAGCACTTACCATCATTTGATATAGTCTATATTCAACTATTCATTTCATTATGACTATCTCCTCTACTAGAATATAAACTCAGAGGCGGGTGTGGGAGTTCTGTTTCGCTCATAACAGTACGTGGCACAGAAAGGAAGCATGATAAATTATTTGTTAAGGGAATGAAGAAATGCTTAGGAGGAAGATGGTAAAACCTATTCATCCTGACATACTTTGGAATCATATGGGCACATTATTTAGTGCACTGTCACACTGGATATGGGAAGAGATGTCTCTTTCAGTTATGTTTTGACTTTGGCCAACACTGAGCACAGAAAGCAAGGGAAGTTCAGGGGATGTTCTTTACAGATGAATACCGCAGCAGGCAGGACTATTTAGTAAATACTCCAAACTCGCTCCCTGTTCCAATCTACTCCTTAAGCTCCAGGTGTACACCTGAAGGAGAGGATGACCTTTCTGAGTTCAGAACCTTGAGAAACACGCTTGCTCACAGCCAGCACGTATTGAGTAACTTTCTCCCAGGACATACATTACCCCGGGAAGGGATGGAGGCAATGACAGAAGTTACATAAATCTCCCCAGTCACCTTATCCACTTCCGGCTCTCTAGTGGAAATGGACAGGCACTGTGCCCTTGAAAGACTGGTGAACTCACAGAACACCCAGATCTTACTTAGGAGGCATTACTAACGTAAAACCTCCTGATCATCCCTTAAACTTCAGTGTTTTCATGCATGTCACACATAAGCTTCAGCGCTATATTTCCTCATCTCCAGGGGTCACTTCCAGTTCTGATGTCCTAGAAATCCTCCTCTTTTTATCTCAGAGCCAACTTTCTGCAAATGACAAAACAGGCCCACAGGAGGGATATGTCTTGCCCAAGGTATCCACCTGGTTAAATGCAGAAACAGGACTAGAATTCAACCCTTTTTTCATCAGGGTCTCAAATTTAGTTCTCACGTCCATGGACTTTAACCTTTGCAGTTTCAAAACTGATCACTGAACCACTGGGGTGATAAAAAGATCCTGCGGGTTATTTAAGTAAGTGGTAGTATTAGTATTAGTGGCAGCATACACAGAGTCCTATAGAAATTACTTAACTAAAATCATTGAGGTAACTAGTGTTATATTTGATGACACAAATAAAATTCATATTTATAGCTACATTAAATATGACAAAGAATGTGTTGATTCATTATTAACTAATGACAGACTTTATAGCAAGATGAGGTTATATTACCTCTATCACAAAATGCAGTAGATGATACCATAGGCTTTGAGAAAATTATATATATATGTATATATTTTTTTGTTTGTTTTGTTTTTTATTTTTTTATTTTTTGTGGTACTGGTGATTGAACCCAGGGTATCAGGCATGATAAACAAGCACTCAGCCACTAAGCTACAACCTCAGCCCTTTTTAAATTCTTATTTGAGATAGGATCTCACTAAATTACCCAGGGTGCACCTAAATTTGCAATTCTCCTGCCTCAGACTCCCCAGTGGCTGGGATTATAGATCCACTGAGAAGTGTATTTTACATGTACTTCAATATATTTTCAATTTTATGATACCATTAATCTTAAAATCTCCCAATCTTTCCATCTTGTATGTTCAATCACCTTGTTTTAATCTAGCTCCCCTTATTTTCCAGGAGATATGCAATATATCTACATCTATCTATTGCTTAACTTTATTTTCACTTTCCTCTGTGAGAAGAAACTAGGCAATACAAAGATTATCATCTTGACTACAATACATGGGAAAATTGAAACAGATGTTAAGAAATTGGTAGAGAAACTTTGCACTTCATCTTTTCATCTATATGTTACATTTGGCAGCATTTGTCAAATCTAAATAAGCAGCGCATATTGATATATACTGCCCAACTGGATGCAGTTTTATCTCTATTACATAAAATCATATTCTCTAAATGGTATTCAACAATAAGCAAACTTACCCATAAATAATGTTGAGGATTTCAGATTTATTTGTGAGCAAAACCTCTGAATGACAAGAATAACAAAAAAAACACAAGAATAAATCGGTAGAAAGAAGTAGTAATTTGTAGTAGGCTTTATAGAAAGTCTTCCTGTGGGCCTCAGTAAGACAGAGACAGAGACAGAGAGAGACAGAGATGAAGCCAGCACCATGATTATGTAGTAACAGTCTGTGGGAAACTCTAGCTGAATGCCATGTAACTATTTTACATAGCATTAACTGTAGAAGAAACGATGACGATGATAGCTAGTATATATTGAGTACTTACTAAGTACCAAATATATATTGTCTCATTTAATTCTTTTTTTCTTTCTTTTCCCAATTTTTTAAGGTAGAGCCTAAGTTGCTTAGGCTGGCCTTAAACATGCAATCTTCCTATCTCACCTGCTAAGCAGCTAAAATTACAAGTGTTTGCCATTTCACCCAGTTCATTTAAATCTTCTTGTACCAGCCCTCTGAGGTAGGCGCTATAGATGAGGAAACTGAGGTACAGAGCTGAAGTAATCTATCCAAGTCCCAAGGCTAATAGACTTCTTCTCAGGCATGTACTACCATGATTATGGACATGTGAGAAGCTTTTAACAGGGACGAGCCTGACCTACCATTCTGAAGTCCTCTTCAAACTTGAAAGCCCCGCCTCCCGTGGCACAGAGGGTGGTGTGGAGGCTAGAGAAGTTCTTCTCGCTGCCCATCTGAATGAACGTGTGCATGGCACAGCTGGGAAAGCGAATGAAGTGCAGGTTTCCTTTGCGCCCACACATAGTCAGGTTTTTCAGTTCCAGGTGGACATCTCGGATCCCGGATTTTCCATAGGCTGTGTTAGAAGTCAAATATTTCCGGATGCTCTTCAGGTTCTCTACTTCCTCTTGTTCCTCTTCGGCTGTAATATCCTTCGGTTCAAAGTAGACCAACTTAACCAGAGTTCCACCGATATCCATGCCGAACCACGGGAACGCTAGAGGACAAAAAGAGAGTGAATCCTATACATGCAACATCCTATACATGCTGAATCCTATATATGCAAAAAAAGCTCAACTTTTGAACATTCAATAACAAAATGCATCTAATATTCAATGTTTTGAATTCAACTATATGTGCCTTTTAAAAGCACAGAAATCCACAAGGCCAGTGGTGCCTATAACCCAGCTCACACTCGACTCCATGAATGAGTCGGCCTCAGGACCGAGTGAGATGACAAACATGATTCTGCAGCTCCCTCAGCCAGTCTTCATTGTGCTTTTCAGGGCTTCAGTATCTTGCCAAGCTAAGTGCTGTGCCAATATTTACAGATATGTATGTTTTTACATACACCAAGGCTTCCAAATGCTATCTCATCAGATTTGCAGCCAGAGAAACTGATCTGTTCCGATCACAAAGGAAAAACTAACTATACCGAGTGTACCAAGAGAGGATGAGTTGGTCTCTAAACCACAAGGTCCATCTCACGACATTTTTCCATGATTCAGGTTTTGACTTATGAGGTGATAAGATGTGAGGCCACAATATGTAGGAAGGAGAAAGGGAGAGAAAGGGCACTTTGCGAGATGATGAGCAAACACAATTATCACGAGGGAGGCAGAAATCTAAGAACCACTTGTGTTATGTCTACTCCTTTCTGTATTAAGCAGAGAAACTCTCTATTCTAAATGGCTTGCCTAGAAGTTCTCAGCCCTAATGCGAGTTAAAGTCATCTGGAAAGATTTTAACACTTATTTCCAGTCTCCTTTCCCATGGATGTTGATTTAATTTGATGGTGTGAGTTCCTGGGCCTAAATTCCTCAACTGTCCCAGTCTGTAGGTGCAGGAACACGACACAAGAGGAACCACGGACACTGCAGGTCCAAAACTAACCACAGCCGGAAACACCAAGGCTTGCTTCTAGGTATATAAGTACTTGATTTGTTTCAGCTACTTATCTGATACTAAATGAATCCCCATCACAATTACCTTTATTGCTATTAAGAGACAGAGCTGAGGCACCTGAATAGGCTGTATTTAAAAGCATCCTGGAAAGTTAATGTTGTGCTGTCAAATGCTCTGCAGCGAATACACAACAAACCCAAAGGGAGACACCAAATGCTGGAGTCTTCCACTTCACTTCCCTCAGGAGAATCCACTGACTGAACCTGAACCCTGATGTGAAAACTGAGTTTAAACCGGGTACACGTGCGCACACCTGCATTCCCAGCTTCTCGGGAAGCTAGGTGGGTGCTCACATGAGCACAGCAGCCTAGGCAACATAGCGAGAGCTCGCCCCCAGTCTCAAAACGACAAACTAAGCGCGGGGGAGATAAAACTGACTTTAAAGATTCAGGAGCAAAAATGGCTTCTTTCAAAAAGTGTATTTTATTTCAGCCCTAGAAAACATTCATATAAGCCCCTGTCAGACTGTACATATTACATCTGTCAAACTGTATGTATTATACAGCCAGATATATAAGGATACCTACGAAGGGTCTTTTTTCTAGGTACACCCACTACCCAGTTTTCTACTCGGGGAAGTTGAGGGAGGAAATCAGCCCTGTAAATAATATCTCTCCTGAACTTCGCTGTTGTTTCTTTGATTATGATACAAACCAGTTGCTCTATACTTGGTAAGATCTAATGCTATGGAAAAATAAAATTCCAAGCCCCCAAAAGATTAAGAGTAACAAATTCCAATACAAAACCACGTTAACAAAGTTCCTATTATCTTTTTCAAAAGTTTACAAAGCAAATCCCACACAGTTCAGAGCAGGTTGGGAAACTTGCTTGTCCTAGTGGGTGGTAACAAAACCAGACACCGTTTATCCATATTAGTCAATTCAGCTCACAGGTGAAGTGTGTTGGGTCACCCTTTAAAATCCACTGTCAGCATGGCTCGGTGTGGGAGCAGCATGGTGTAAGAGCTAAAGCCCTGGATTAGGATTCAGAACAACTGCTTCCAGGAGCAGACATCAGAACCAACTCACTGGACTCCCTCCACCTCTCTGAATCCTAACTTCCTTATTAGTAAAGGGAATAAGGTGCATTAGAATGGTACTCTGTCCCCTCTCTGCTATAAGCTATGAATTATTTAAGAAATATGAAAGAAAAACCACAAGCATCCCCAACCATAAAAGCTGCCCAGAGTCTTTCTCGATGGAATTCACTGGAATATCCTATGGCATATTAGCAGGTGCCTGGGATACACAACCAGTGTTGCAGTTATCCTCTAGTCTTATCAAAATAGGGAAAAGACACCTGCTACTGGACAGGATGAAGGAAGGGCTTTCTGGAAATTTCTAGATGTCACTTTGAAAAATTCTGGCAACATTTATTAAAATTAAAATATATATGTTTGAAGCCAAGCTAACCCTTCTCTTTGGCCGTAAAATAAAAGACTCAAGTATTCAAGGACTGAGTTTAAGAATATTCTTTGGAACAACCTTAGGAGTGGTAAAACTAACAAAAACAAAAGAAAACAAATACCAGGGTATGCCCTTTGACAGGGAATCTGTTCAATAAAGTTTGATTTCTAAACTGTGGCTTACTAAGCAACCATTCAAAAGAATGACCAGGATTTATTCCAACTGACTGTAAAGATTTCCCCCAAATTTCTGTTAATGAGGAAAGCAGGAGATGGCCAAAACTAAACATTTTTTAATACACCATTTGGTTTGAATAAGAAGGGAAAAAAGGAAGGAAAGAAAGAAGGATGATCTCTGTATATTTAAGGTGATATACGTCTGAAGAAAAGTAGAGAAGAACCTCAGGTTGTTGATATTAATGCAGGGAGGTTGGTCTGTGGGGATCAGGCTGTACTTGAGAGGCTAGAGATTTGGAGGAAGGGAAGGGGAAAATTCTACATTTAGGACTTTTAGTAAACATAGAAATTAAAAACAAAGGAATTCAGCAATGGAAAATACTGTAAAAGATACCTCAGCATTGCAGACAGAAAAAGCTATGTAAAACCCAGAAAATAATCCAGTTTCATACAAAAAAAAAAAAAGTATTCACCCAGCAGCAGTTACCGGAACTCTAGGAGGCAGAGCCCACACATAACCTTTTGTTTGCCTGGATCTTGCTAAGTACAGGTAACTGAAAAGAGGTCTCACTTTTAAAAAACACTGCAGGGGAGGCCTTAACATTTTATAAGTTATTTTAGACCCTAGTTCTAAACTAGTCTTAAATCCTTCTTCCTGCTTCACCTACTGCTCAATTTTGAGACATTTCAAAGCTTTGTCAGCAACTCCACAGTGGAAAAAAAGTGTAGAGTTTTTAAAATACAGTTCAATGTTATAACAGAAGTCTGCATTAAAGTAGGAGGGAATAAAGATTGAAATTACCCTATTAATTTAAGTGACAATAAAAGCTGCATTTAAAGGGGCGACAACGTAATTCAGTGGTAGATAGGTAGCCTGGCATGAGTGAGGCTCTAGGTTTTATTTATGTTATGTTCACTCCTTATCTTTGCGAAAACTTTAATGCTCCTCTGTTTCACATTGTAATGCTTTTCCAAGACACTGTTATATTTTACACATGTAGTTTTACTCATCTTCTGGATGTCAAGTCTGTCTACCCCTAAGCTTCCCGTATAAAATACTCAGGTGGAGACAGAAGAAAAGGGAAGAACATCCCAGTGCAGCTGCCATGCGTGACTCACATTTGCCATTGTTCTGAGATATCCAGACACTCTGATATGTACAGCCAAACTACTGATAAGAGCCTATTCTTGTTCACCAGGAGCTATGTTGGTTCTAGATACAGAATATCTGCATTCACCCCTTACTCCTCCTTTCTAAGCCAGATGTCATTTAAAAAAAAAAAAAAAAAAAAAAGGAATCTGAAGTATTAATCAACAATGTTCAGCAGAAGACCAGATTCAAATCCGGAAGAAAACCACTGAACACGTGTTAAATGAAAACTATTGGCAGCCATTGTTTTGGACTGAGCTCCTACATGAGGCCTCAGTAGAGTAGGCTAACAATCAAAACAGATTCATTCATACCACGGTTAAACTAAACCTGCCATTTGACCTTCTGAGAAATCAGCATTAGGGAGGTAATGCCCAAATTTCCCACATAGCTCCACTTCAGTTGATAGGCTAGTAAAGCTCTTTATTCCTTATGCAGAAGAAGCAACCTAATGTTAACCTATCAGTCATTTTTCTGTTATTCTGCGTCCTTGTCCCTCCCCTATAAGGAAAGTACCTTTGAAATGACCAACCCACTTTCTGTCTTTGTTTCTGCCTTCTTCATCCTGCCTGTAGAATCAAGCATTGGAAAACTTATTCTATCTTCTAGAATGAAGTGTAGACTGATTCTAGAATTGAAAAAAGCCAATGAAGAACATTAAATACAATGGTGTGTTAGTGCCCTTTGATAGCATAAATAAATAAACCTTTGTTCTTTTAAATCATAGAGATTTGGGCATTATCTGATACCGCAACAGCACCTGGCCTGTTCTGACCAGTGCTGGAAGTGCAGTGTGGCTTTAACAAGGCATGTGGCTGTGGTTTGGAGGCCAGGCAACAAGGAGTGAGGGAGCAGATTTTGGAGACTGGCAAAGCTTTTGGCCAAGCAATCATCTCTGATAACCTGGAGAGAGGTAACACACCTAAAGAATTAGCTGATCTAGCGAAAAAGTTTGAAAGTCAAATGTCAGTAGCACGTGCTGGCTATTATTGGCTACTATTGGTTGTACTTTAATAAGTGACAAAGAATAAGCTCAGAAAATAACTGACTGGTTTACAAATAAAACACAAAGCGAATAAAGTCCATAAAGTCAGGCTTGAGGGCAGAAAAAGTGCTGTGTCCCTTTTCCAACAGATTAAAAAATAAAATTGAGAAAGCCTTTCAGTTAGAAAAGGCCAATGAGCCAATTAGCAAATAATACTTAGTTTTGTTTTTTTTTTCTTCAGGACTAAGGATTGAACCCAGAGCATTTGCACTAAGCTCTATCTCTAGCCCAACACTTTGTTTTCAGGCTTTCATT